AGCATATGCCTTGAGTATGGGTAGAGATTCGGATTCCAGTGAAAGGGTTTTTGAGATCCAGAGCTTCGTGTGTTCTCGGCATAGAAACCAGTGATTATCATAGGTGGTAAGAATACCATATCTAAGTTCGTTTCCTCCCATATAATTATAGATTTGCTGAATCACATCCTTGCCCTTACTTGTATTATAAAACTCGGGAAATGTCTGTTCTCCCATATCTTCTAAAACATGCTTTCTTTTAGCCTCAATCACCAAGATCAATGAACCTACGAGATGACAGGTGAAGTCCGGTACACCAGGAGTATTAGGTGGACGTCTTGAAAATTTATATTCTGATCCCATAAGTCTATTTAACACCAAACAAATGTTGGAATTCAAGGCATCACGAACATCCTCTTCATTATCTACTTCTCTGTCTTGGCTAAATTGTGGCCTCTCGAATATTGGTTGTTGGTCGAAGCAGAATTGATTCACTTTATCGAAGAAGTCGCCCCATAGTTGTACACTTGTCGGTGGGTCACCATTAACCTTTGTAGTGGTCTTCGATTTAGTACAGTCCGGAGAATATGTTATGGATAATGGAATACACGACAAAGCCTCTTCTAAGCTGAGAACTGGAAACGAATGCGTGTTAATATTACAAGGGCAAATGATGAAAAATTAGACTATACCAGACACTCCAGACACTTACGTGGCAATTTTACGATAACATGAATATGTTTTTTAGGAGGCGAAGTAGGCCAGTAGTCCCCAATATCATTTATTGCCAACAGCTCGTCACTGTTCTGGAGTATTAGATTTCTTAATTGATCGTCCTGATCGCCAGGGATCGACACCTTCCATAGCTTGAGCCTGTCTGCGTCTATACCAGCAAAGTCATTTTGTTTTTTCTCTTTAATAGCGTCCTTGAGGTGGCTAACCAGCTTTTACCTATCAATATCTAAGGCAAAAGCACTAGCGGTCGTATTTCCTTTGACGAGACATAGTAAAGTGATAGACATGTTTTCGGCTTATATAGTATTTTTTTGCGAAATGTTATTGGCTCAAAGTGCGGTATGTAAGGACAAAAGTAAAAAAGAATTTTATTTGCGAAAAAATACAGAGGGCTGGTATATGAGAGAAATTCAACTGTCGCACAAGAGACCGATCAGCCAGACAGCCACTTTGCATCATAAGTGCAAATCACTGCGCCTCCCTAACCGTGAAGACTCTTCTCACTTATCACCTGACGTTTTTATATAGGCTAGATTGGTTCGGATAAAAATATTAGATTTATGCTTTAGCGTCTTCAATTAGTCCATGGATCGCACCATTACACGTGACCCTTTCTCATGTACAGTACAATAATAATACTTTATTTATGAAATAAAAATGTTGCCGGAACCGGCTTAACATTACATAAAAACTATTACATAGCATGATAAAAAAATACTAATTATTTCAGAAAATGGACAGCGCAAGCGGATCTCCTGTAGGGATCGCGTGAAGTTTGCTTTCTGATTCGCTAGAGTCTAATATCTGAGGAAGGCTTTTTTTCCAACTCCACCTGGGGGTATATAATGATGTTAATAGGGTTTAAGCCAGCTATTTTACCTTCTTCTAGAGGAAAAGGCGATGCAAAGTTTTCTTCCCCCAAGGAAAAGCATTGAGAAATTTTTTTTTGCGGGTCCATCCATACCCCTTGTCTTTTTTCAGGTTTATCGCTATTCACAGTATTGATTAGAACATTATTTTCTTGAAAGAAATCTTTCCTATATAGTTCGATGTTTATTTCTTCTAAATCTGGCCGGTTAGTTTTGATCTTAGCTTCCAGGTCACTAACGGTCAAATCCCTATCAATTATTACATTGAAAATTTTGACCTCATTATGAACGAAGCAAGTGAAGGTGCTAAACTTCTTACTTTCCTAAATTCATGGTCCATTGTGAGAACTTTTCGCTTGCATGTATACAAAACTTTGCCAGGCTGAAAGCACTCAAGGTAGGCGCTTAGCATGGCATATAAATACCTTATTTTGCGACATTTTACGGATATTATTTTTGCGGAAAGTTGGCTGAACTTCCACATACTCTTACATCTTTATATTTTGCTGGGAAAAAGTTAAGGAGATATGAGTCGTGATTAACAATGTCGTATGATGCCAAGAGTTCTATGAAAGCACATGCAAACGGAATTTTCAAACCTTTTCACATGGAGATCTACCGGAGAGACTATAGTTGGTTTTACGCCTGGCGATCTCGAAATTGCGAGTCCCTCAGCCCTCCATAACATATGCTTTTGCCGGCGCTATTTACTTTTAGAGCTAGTCCTGTGTTGCTTGTAGACATTCTTTCACATTTTCTCATGATTGTTTGGGAAAAAAATAGAGGTAGTAGTTAGCATAAATATATGCAAAAATTAATATGTTGCACAAGACTTGTCTGATGATCCACTTATTTTTTGTCGCACAATCTGTGGCTCAGCAAATTCTTCCGAGCTAATGATCACTGCTCCGGTTGATGATCAGTACTCCGGACTCGGCCATTACATCATTGCACAGAAATCTATGGCTCAGCAAATTCTTCCGAGCTGGTAATCACTACTCTGGTTGATGATCAGTACTCCAGACTCGGCCCTTTCCCTTAGAAGATGGTCTAGATGTGATTTTACCAAAATATGGTGAAATGGGAGTAAAGAAGATTTGGTTTACCGGAGAGGGACTGCCGTTATTTCCAAAGGTCACTCCTCAACAATTGCACGAAATTTTCGTAAAAAATTTGGCTGGTACAGACTAATGCCCATGTCTATAACAGGTTAGATAATCTATATTTTTTGTCGTACAGGGTATAAGTACAACCCAAGAAAAATCTTCCGAGCTGGTCACTGATCCAGATTAGTTAGATCGGTAGAGTACCCATTCTGGGGCTAATATTCTTTCATCAGCTCTCGACATTAAGGTGGAAATAATACCTCGAGTCGGTGAATGTCTGTTTATAGCTATAGATGTATTGGAATTTAATTGTGGATATGCCCTGTAGCGGGGTCTGAAATTCTGATTGATAATATGGAAGTATTGTCTTATTGTTTCATCTAATCCAGCTAGTATTGAATCCATCGAAGCCACAAAATTCTCTACGTGGATATTTGAATTTAGCTTATCTATAGCTTCTTTGCTAATTTTATCACACCCCCTCAAATTAAGATATTTTAAATTATGACATGATTTAGCAATTTTTTCAATAGCTATATCAGTAATTTTACAAAAGCTAAGGTCGAGTTGTTGGAGTCTTGGGCAAGAATGAATAACATTACAAATTGATAGTTCGCAAATATCTGTACAATGAGAAATATTTAAATATTCTAATTTATGGCATGACCGGGCAATAGCAAATAGACCTTCACCAGTTATTATGCCCATATTAGAGGATACATACTCGTTCTTTTGCAAATTAAGATACTTCAAATTGGGGTATGATTCTGCTATTCAATTTAATGTTTTATCGCTAAATCCTGTGCTAAAATTAAAATCTAAATAAATTATGTTTGGGGACAAGCACATAATGCCTTTGATTTTTTTATCCCAAAGTTGGCGGTAGTGTGAAATTTCTAGATGAGTTAGATTTGAGCTATAGACTGGCTTTTGTCTTTTACATACTATTTTCATAAATTTCTTCAATTGAGTGCAATCCTCTCTTTCACCTTTCTTTAGCTCAATGCGTCTCCATAGAATAGGGACACCGCATCTGTACCATAATCGGCAAACAAATAGAGCGGGATATAGTGACTTATCTATTGCTAAAAAATGTAAAATATGTTCTAATAGTTCTGGTAAATAAAAGATGGTTAAATGCATCATAAATATATGCTGTATCTTTAAACAAAAAATAAAATTACGCGATCACTGCTTCAGACCCGCATGATTGGAATCATTGGTTTCTTTGGACTCAGATGAATCTGTTTCCTCGCAGAATGGCATAAAATCACCATATATTGTTAATCCTTGTTTTTCCATATCTATTTTTGCTTCGCGAAGCCATAACCATGGTAATCCTAATACAAGATCCGCTTTCGGCTTTTCAATAACCACGAAATTATTAAAAATATCGTCACCATTAGTAGATACTAGTCTATCTTTTCCCTTGTATCGGAAAGATAAATCCAGACATTCCAACCTGTTTTTTTCTTTATATTCAGTATACTCCATCTCAAGCTTATCGACCAAGCTTCTTCTAATAAAATTTTCTTTAGATGATGTGTCTATCAATGCCTTGACTGTATAGAATCTACATCCTGCTTTTATTGCTTCGTGGCGACTTTTTAGATCTATATCATCATCTCCCTGAAAATGCCAAACTTTACATTCTATATAAGCCATTTTAAGTATTGTGTTTTATAACCGAATATATTTAATCGAAAATCCCTCCGGATCAGATCATTTGCGACCCTAACGCTTGTCTAACATAATTATGTACAGACATAATATCTCTTGGTGAGTCAACTGTCATTCTCAGTCTCCTTGACAGTTCATACATCCCGGGGTATGTATCAAAATAGGCTGGTATTATGGTACACACGAAATTCTCAACATGAATATTTGGATTAAGTGAAATGAGCTGATCTATGGCTTCTTTGCTAACAATATCACACCCTTCCAATTTGAGATACTTTAAATTAAGACATGAACTACCAATTTCTTTAATAATCTTATTAGTAACTCCGCAATAACTAAAGTCAAGATGTTGAAGCTTTGGGCAAGAATGGATAATATCACAAATCGATATCCAAGTAATCTCTGTGCGATAAGAAATATTTAGATATTCTAGTTTGAGACATGACCGTGCAATTGCACATAGACCTTTATCAGTAACTCACCAACCATTAAAGGTTACGAACCCACTCTTTTGCAAATTGAGATACTTCAGATTGGGATATGTCTCTGCTATTCGATTTAGTGTTTTATCGCCAAACCCTGTGCTAAAATTTAAATCTAAATGGACTATATTTGGGAATATGCGCGAAAAACCATTGAATTTTTTATCTGAAAGTGGATAGTAGTTCGAAATTTCTAGATGAGTTAGATTTAAGCTATAAACTGGCTTTTGTCTTTTTCGTACTATTTTCATAAATTTTTTCAATGGAGAGTGACATTTATTTTCCCACTTTAGCTCGATGCATTTCCATAAAATAGGGGCACTGCATCTGTACCATAATCGGGAAACAAATAGGGCGGGATAAAGGAATTTATCTACCGCTAGGAAATATAGAATCCGCTCTAATAGTTCTGGTAAATTTATAACACCTAAATGTGCCATAAATAATATATGCTGTATCTTTAATCGAAAAAATGTGATTTTGCACCAATGATCACTACTCTGGACTATTGGTTGGACCAGATTTGACTTTGATATGGGAGGATCACAAAATTATCGTCTATTGTTAGTGTCGAATTACACATATTTAAGCGTACACTATTTTCTCGCATCCATGGTGAGCCCAAAAGTATTTCAGGAAATTGATCAGGCCAATCTGGTCCAGTAACTATAAATTCAGTAAGTATGATTTTATGCTTCTCGCCATCATTTAAGATAATATGTAAATTAACCTTTCCTAATGTGGAATAAGACTCATCTAGAAACCCATATACTCTAGGAATACTATTGTTTTTTGCGTATGCTATTTTCACAATTTTTTCACTAATGAAATTTGCATTAGCGCATATGTCAATCCTAAATCGAAAATCTGTAAGAATTACCCTTTTGGGCCGTTCAAGATTCACCACTCTTTCCCATATGTCATTTATACCGCTAGCATGTTTTAGATCTGGAAGATACTTTAAAATAAATGATATCAACTCTGACGGAAGAAGCTCAAGTAAATTCGATTCATGCATTTTTATATGATAGAAGAATTTTCAATCAGAAAATATGGTTAGTTATAGCACGAAGTAATAACTAGTTAAATCAGACTTTTTGGATCAGATACCTTCTTGGCTTCGCCTTATTATCAGATTCTCTCTTCGCGCATATTATTTTACCTGGATCCACCACTGGTAAAAAAAAGGTCTATCCTACACATATCCTACACATATCTTACATATATCGGGTACTCAAAATGTAGAAAATCATACACAAATAATACACATATCATACATATATCGGGTACTTATATATATAGTATACCTATCAGGTACCTGATATATGTATGATATATATATTAGTACCCGATATATGTATGATATGTGTATTATTTGTGTATGATTTTCTACATTTTAAGTACCCAATATGTGTAAGATATGTGTAGGATAAATCATTTTTTTACCAGTGCACTTTCTTTTCTGGTGGCGCGTGATCAGAATTGAATTCCTCAGATGAACTGGACTCGGACAAAGTATTTATGGATTCTTTACTACAATTGCAATGTTCCATAGTAAATAGTTCGTCTACATTATCATCCAGCCACTTTACACGTTCTTCTAGTAGTTTAACTCTCTTTTTAAGCTTTCTATGCCAAGAACAATAATGATCCATCCTTTTTGCTAGTGCTCTATTTTCACTGGAAAGAACACTATATACTTCTGCATTTTGCTCATTTAGTCCAAATGCCTGGGCTAATATTTTCGTATATCTAATAACTTCCTGCTCGCTAGCTATACTATAGGATGAATGCTTTTGATCAGCTATCATTTTCGTGATGTATTCTATATGCTAGATCTTGACTTGAACGAAAAAAAATAAAATTGCGCACATTGATATCCCAACTCGATCCCTCTGGGATTCCTCTAACCCTTATATGTGAATAATGTGATTAGTTTTCATCGAAGAACATGAATGGGTTTGCTTGATCGTAAGGCATTCCACGAAGTCTGTAATTTACTATAGTATACCTCTGCGATGGCGCAGTGTTATTTTTAGGACTATGTCGAAGTGCTTGACTAGCAATAGTATTAGCTTTCGATAGATTCCTAACCCTACTCGCTACAACCACAAATACAGCTCCTAAATTACATAAGGAACTAGGAAGTAAGGGCTTACCAGTTTCGGGAAGAAATTCAGCTTTTTTCAGAAACCTACTCAAGATTCCAGTTCTAGACGTCCCTGGGTCTCCTAACTGTCCGGAAGATATTGCTTCCTGAATCCATGTAAGCAATTGCTTTGCCCGTTCCTCATTCTTTTCAAGTGATCTAAACACTCGAGGAATATCCTGTTGATCTCGGTTTTTTACATATCCTGTTACACCTCCATTAGATATACGCAAATCTTTAATTTCAGCTGGACGGATACAGAGCATAATCATTACATCAGCTAGGGCCTGTTTGTCAGGTGTATTAGATACATCATACGAATCCAATCTCTCCTTAACCGATTCTAACGAGAAGTGGTCTGGATAATGAATTCCTTTATCTTCGCATAATAAACTCTTCTCCTTTTGGATTTTATTCGATAAAGTGGTTATTCCTGGAATCTTTGTAGCTTCGATTATTGCCTTTGGGCATTAAGCTTCCGCAATTCCTTTCGGAGCCTACTGAGACTAGATGTGCAGGCAACCGGATTAGGGGATGTCTCGGCTAATGCTTTAGCTATAAGTTTTACTTCTTTTTCACTAAGGCTATCCCGCATAATACGCTGAGCCGTTTCTCTAATGATTTCTCCTTCTGGGATAATATCTGATACTTGCCAGGCGCTTTTATCACAGCATATATTCACTTCCGCTTCTGCCCCTCCTTCTTTGGGGTTACTTGACTTTTAGTTCGACCAGTTCTTTGAGAAGGTATCAACGCAAATGCTTGTTCTTTACTAAAGTTATATCCTTTTTGAAGACGATCGCGAGCCTGACGCCTTTTCTCTCCATCAGCTGGTAAGAGCTCAAGTATTTCTGGCGCATACTGGCTAAACTCTTCGAGACTCATTTCATTGGTGAGTTCGTGGTCTGTAACGAACTTGGTTGTAATAGCAGACATGTTGTGGTAAGTAGACTATGGTGGTAGTTAGATTAATCTGTGGTATTTAGATTATATATTGTGGGATAAAGTTCAATTCGAAAAAAATAAATAATTCTCCCTTATCCAAGGACTGCGGAAGAGGGTCGGAGGGGTTTCGGATGAACAAAAAAAAAAAAAAGAATATTATAACTTCTGCGGGCTCTCTATGAGACCATGAGCTCCGGCCGGAATAGCTTTTATATATATTTGAAAATTGCGGGTAGATAGGATATGCGAAAAAAATAATAATAATTTGGGATTTTATATCGCCTATTGTAAAAAACGAAAGTCCTATCCCTACTAATATTTCATAACCCACTCCTATTCGCTCTTTACCAAAGCATACCATTCTCCTGGAGTATGCTTATATTTTTTTGCCATTCCTCATCATCGTAAACATACTCCCGGGGCTTTCCCACATCTTCGTACTTCCGGAGATATATTTCTTCGCTTATTAACCTTTCCCTTCTAGTCATGTAAAATAAATCGTTCAGGCTCATTTTGTTTTCTTTCGCAAAATCGATCACATCTGCGTCTGCCATCATCCTGTCTCGATATTCTCGGGATAGGTCAACATCTTTCTCTGTGATAGTCATGAATATATCTGGATCTTCACCGTGATCGATAGCCCATTTTCTGAGACGCTCTTCGCGCTGTTGTCTAGCCAGGAATGTGGAAGAAGCTTTTTTATTGCTAGGTTCAGGTTTATCTATTAGTGGCTCAGGTGATTCGGAAGTCTTAGAACTCTCGGATGTCCCAGATGTTGAGGCGATTGGGGTTCTGCTTTCTTATCTGGCTGAGGCGGGATTATTTTTGGAGGAATTATTTCTGGCATATTGAATATGGGTATGTCTGTGGCCTCGTTTGTGGGTAAGTCAGCTTGAGATATATCAGAAAATTCTTCGATATCACCTAGGCAGTGTTCACGAAGCTTGACTATGATTTTGGAGCGGTCAAGGATATACTGCCACTCTCTTTTTCCGCCTTCCACTCGTACTTGTTTATACTCAGTAATATTTTTCTCTGATAGCTTCTTACCGAAAATGTTATTAGGTAATACCTTTTTATCATTATCCCCACACCATTCAAGATATTTTTGGTATAAAAATGCTTTGCTACTGGTCCTGATTCCACTACTCTCAGCCCAAGATGCAATATGATCAATTATAAATCGAATGGGATTAGAAAGCTGATTTCGCATTGTTTCTACCTTCATTTTAGTTGGTGGAATCTTACGTGACTTCCATCCTGAAAGATTAAGATTAAGCAAATATGTCATAAATGATCCTGGCATAATCATGTATTTTTCAGAAAGATTTTCCGAATTTTTCGGAAAACTACACGATTTTTTGTTGGTTGATTTTCCCAGTGAGAATAGTGGCTTGAAGGTGGCTACTAGTTTATGTAAAATACCACCGTACCGCGTCAATAATAACACTAACAACTTCGCAGTTCTATTGTAGATTTTGAAAGGATTTCTTACTTTTCTTAGGTAGATTCATAATGGTACTCTTTTCTTTAACGAAAATTAATATATTTTATTTTACTATTTTTTTTTTTAGAAAAAGGTTTATTGTGAATGTCTGAGGTTTTCCTTTAGTTTCTTCCGTTAAAATTGACAATTTTTTTTCTTTATTCTTTAGAAATATTGGCTGTCTATTTCTTCCTTAAACACAGATTTTAGATTTTGTATTTTTAGTAATATAGTAAATATTTTTTGTTAAAGAAACATATTGGTGGCATGTTTGGGAAATTACCGTTATTTTCATATACAATATTTCATACAATAAATTTATATTTATCTGGGGTATCTGGGGTCTTAACGTGGATTCTTCTAATAGCTAGTAATATTAGTTGTTTTAGCGGCTGTTGTATTTAATGCATGTACCTTCCATTATTTAGTACGTTGTTAAATTTAATAAAACACAGCCAACCAGAACATCCTCGGGTGATCAAAAAATTTTATTTATCAAAACTTTTATATTTGTTCTTGCCTTTATATTCTTATTACCTTCATTGACAAGCCCTTTGTCTTTATTTATCACTATTACTATTTTTTTCTCGTTTTTCCAGCTCTAAATTAATCCATTTAATAATTGCAGTTAATGTTTTATCACATTTGGGAATATCAACATTATTGAGTATACGAGAAACCATTGATTGATTAAATCCAATTTGGACAGTTGAGATTTCCCTTATTTCACGAGCTATTCTGGATTGGCTTGGAGCATCAAGACCTTTTCGGTATTCCATTACAGTTTTAAAATCATTAATAATATTGATTTCTTCTTTTGAAAATACTTTTTTCTTTTTTGGCTGCCATTGTTCGTATAAATCATTACTTGTTTTATGAATTTTGCTAAATTAAAAAATACATATTAATTATTGTATGATTGTAATTATCGTGGTATAAACAAATCCAAATAAAGTGATTACCTATTTCGCATCAATGTCTCCGCAATGAGATTTTGAGTTGATTTTAGTGTTTGAGTTCTCACATAAAGATATTGATCAATTGGTAAATTTTTTTTACCTATATCTAAATTTTTAACAATATGATTTTCAACCTCTACTGTTGCGGTAGTTCTCCTTGTTCTATTTTTTATTGCAGGCACCAAATTACTCCATAAAACTATAGTTTTCCACCATACTTTATCCAAATAGTTTATTAAATTTAAACTATAAAATGGATTTTTAATACTATCAAATGGAGATAACTGTGCATCAACCGTGATGCCCAATTGCGGAACTAAAAGCCTAAAATTTTTGTTTTCATCGCATAAAATTTTTAACAAAATATTATTATCCAATCTATAGGTCCACAAATTCTCTTGTTCTTGATTTAATAGGTTGGAAATACACATTGGATTATTATAAATATTCTCTCCTATACTACTACTTAAATCAAAGCAATCTGAATCCATGTGTATTAATAAATCTGGTATAACAGTTACATCAAAATTTTCAGTTAATATTTTTCTTCCAGCTAATTTTATATCTTTGTTTATTAATTTCAAATATTTTTGATTCATAACCCATTCCCATTTTTCAATTTCTTTTTCGGCATCCAGAATATTTTCTTTTACTCTAACGGCATTCCAAATTCGCATAGCAAATTTTGATATAATTTCTCGGTCATAGCCTGATTCAATCATGAATTTTTTAGATCTAACATGATGGCGTATAGCTCTAATAGCATGACCAAAGCACCAACCAATTAGCACCTTCGAATTATCAAATTCTTCTTTATTTATTATAGTATTCATGATTCTAGTAATATATTGATCTACACTTTCATTATTATACACTTCTAATATAGCCACTAGTAAGTTTCGTGCACAATCTGTATTAATTAAAAAAGGTACTGAATTGGAATTAAACAATTCTAATTCCTTTTGTCTATATATGTGTAGATATCTTTGAAGGTTCTTTGAAGATAAATCATTTGTTACTAACTCAAATACATCTACTGGCGGTGCATCTGAAGAATTTTCATTTGATGGCATCGTGAAAAAAGCATTTAAAATTCTTTTGTTGTTCGAATTATTTAATGGTGTAAGATATTGAGGTACAGGTTTTACTAATTGACCTGTATAATCCAAAAAAATTCCAGGATTATTATTTACATTATAATGATAATATGTGATTCCTGCTTCATTAAATATCATGACTGATAAAGGTTGTGTTTGAATTGGTTCTTGAATAAAACCCCATAATCGACGTTTGTTAACTAAATCAGCTCCATTAATCTTAATATAATCATCCTTTTCTTTGCCATTTATATCTCCTATGGCTGCATGTAACCGTTCACATAAATTGTAACCCGATTCATTTTTTTCTTTTTCAGAATAAATTGTTCGAGCTGAATGAGCTGATGGTATACCTTGACGATTGCCAGTATAACGAACTTCATTTTTAACGTTTGATAGTATTTTTTTTCTCATCTGTCGGGGGGATTTAAATTCTACTGATCTCGATAATACTTGTCTAGCATATCCTCGACATTGACCAAAAATTTTTCCATCTAAATGTCTACATTGCCTTTTATTTGTTGAATATATTACATTAATTTTAACAAACTCTTTTGATTGAATTAAATCAATATTATTAATGATTATTCTGAATAATGTTTGATTTTTTTTATCACATCCTCCACAATAGCAGTATTTAATCAAATTTTTATTTGTTTCAGATGTTTTTAGAACAGAAATTGAAATTTGTGGTGGAAACTCAGACTGTCCTTTAAGTAATTCAACTAAATAATAATTACTAATTTGCCAAGGCCTCCAATGATAATTACAGTTTTCAATATTATATATAAATAAAGATGACGCTTATTCTTGTGATATTGTAAATTGAAAATCCTTAGCCTCCGGATAAATTAAATAACCATCTAATTTATCAATATTGGGAATATATTTATTGTCAACGCCCATAAATAATCCAATTATATTATTTTGAACTTCGTCATAATTTTCATTTTCTGTAATTATATTATTATTAGATTCTAATTCATCTGTAATTATATTATTATTATTATTAAATTCTACTTCATCTGTAATTATATTATTATTATTATTAGATTCTACTTCATCAACTGCTAAATTAATATAATTGTCCTGAAAAGATGATGATAGTAGATCTTTAGGAATAGTTTTTTCCAAAAATTGTGGTAAATTTGAATCGTAATATGATGATTTTTTCTTAAATACCGGTACAAAATGATTAGATTTACCGCTATTTTGAAAACTTGTTGCAGAAAGAGAACTCCACATAATAATACATGGCGGATAGTAATGTGGATTTTGTCTTGGCATTATAACACAATTATAAATCCGATTCATAAATTCACTTCCAGTATTTGGAAAAAGAGATTCTACTGGTCTATGCAATACTGATGCTAAACCAAAAAACGCAACCATTGAACACCAAGAATGTGGCTTGCACATTAATTTTAATTCAGCAATGTATTCCTGAGTTTTTTTAAACATATCAACTTTTTCCATATTTGTATTTAACGCTTCATCTCGATAAAGTACATCTTGTTCAAAAATTTTTTGTTGCAAATAATAATCTGCATTAGCCATTAATTCAATCATTACAGCTAAACGTAATTGTATATGATTTTCTTCATGCCCATAGACAATCAATGAGGCGCTATTAAAAAAGCAATTTCCATCTGCGGTAGATCTAATACAAACATAATCTGCATATTTTTCAGGAATTAGTTTCATTGCCTCATCATCTCTTCTATTGTAATCCCACTCTTCATAAATTGTTCTAAAATTAGTCGGTAATAAAATGTTATTAAGATCAAATTGATTACCATATGTAATGATATCATTAAGCGTAATATTATTTCCACAAAAAAAATCAAAAATATCGTACAAAACGTTTTTTGCTGTAGTTGAGTTCATTTTTGTTTATAAAAATTTTGTAAACACGTAAAAAGTATGTTGAAAACGTGGAAAAAATTATGTAAAAAGATGTTTTTATATTTTGCTGTGACAAAAAGACAAGATAAAAGATGTTTCTTTGTTTTATTAGGTAAAACGAGTAAAAAAGTTTTTTTTTTATTGGTGAAAAAGCGAAGAAATAAAGTGTCTATCTATATAAAAAGAAGTAAGAGTTATATTTTTATGGTAATAGAACATTTAAAATTTAGTAATAAATCCTTTTACAGTAATAGAACATTTAAAGTTTAGTGATAAATCCTTTTACAGTAATTAAACATTCGTGTTCCTTAAGTTTATGGCATAAACGAAAGCATATATATTAATGCATTAGTTAATATTGTCACATTTTTGTACGCAGTAAATAATATTCCATATGAACATCTATGTATAAGCCACCTTCAAGCCACTATTCTCACTGGGAAAATCAACCAACAAAAAATCATGTAGTTTTCCGAAAAATTCGGAAAATCTTTCTGAAAAATACATGATTAT